TTCCAGAATTGGCATTATTACCGAATATATTGGTTTGTTCAACGACTTTTTCCATTATCTCTTGTGTAAAAAAGGCTGCAGACACTTGTAGGACAGATGGAGAGTCCGACAATACTTCAATACAGCATCCAAAGGCATCGTTTGCAAAATTATGTATTGTAGGAGCAATATTTTTTTCTTGCCACTGGTAAGGATCCGATTCTTTTTGTTTTGTTTTTAGTCTTTTGGGTTGTGGAATATCAGGAACAACGAGTTTGGTGTCACTTTATGTACTGGCATGGTTTTTCTCACTATCACTGCATGTCGGTTCGCAAATATTTTCCCACCCGTAGCTCTTCTCTGATTCAGCATCAAAGTTTTCGTCTGAATCACTGTAAAAAGCAAGTTCTAATAATTCTTCCGCAGATAAATCCTTTTTACGAAACATGTTGTGAAAAAACGTGCAAATACAATGCGTATGCCTACGAAGTTATGACTTCACTGACGCAGACGCAAAATCAACAAGTATTGACCCGTATCGGAGCTAGTAAGAATCGATGCTTGCAATCCCCACTATTGATATTTTGCTGGTGCTCTGTTACGTGAATGATCACAGTCAAGTTATCCATGCGCTGATTAATACGTTTTCCATCTCGAAGTGCATCGTCTGTCCCTGCGGACTTATACGTCTACCGGGTATCGGACTCGTTATGATTTCGCGGATATATCAGTTTCCAATTTCCCGTTACCACAGAACTGGAAAGGGGATAGGGAAAATGTCACAGCACAGAACAGATGGAAGAACGCATTCATGGACAAAAATATGAAATATTTATGTTATGACGCCATAACTAAATAATTACGAAATATCTTTCTAAGCTTATTATTTACACCAACATCATTAATTTAGTAGGCTGAGTGTAATTTGAGTATTTTGTTGAAAGATATTTTTGTAAAATTGTAAGATTTGTTTTCGGTTCAGTATTGTTCTGAGAAGTTAATGAATAGAATCACAGAAGTGAGTCGGAGATATGGACTCTCACTGAACATTAAGAAAAGAAAATGTATGATGATCTCTAAGAAAGAACAGCAAGTTGAAAGAATTAGTGTGAATGGTAACCGATAGAAAGAGTAAAAACATACACGTACCTTGGTACGAACGTCAATAAAAATTGGGACAATTCCCTAGGAATAAAATGTTGGATCGAGAAAGCAAGATCTGCATTTCAAAAAATGGCTAAGCTATTCAAATGCCATGATTTGAGTACCCATAAAAATCAGGTTACTACGATGTTATATCTTTCCTATACTCTTGTACGGATTTAAGTAGTAAACTCAAAGATGCTACCTGCAAGAAAATTTAGGCTTTCAAAATTGAGTCTTTATCGTCAAATCCTATACTGACCACGTTACTAACCAGGACGATTGATTAAGAATGCAAAAAGAAAAAGAGTTGTTAATTAACGGTTGTTAGTTAAAGGAAATCGTCTTCAAAATATAAATGTTTTGTAAAAATATATCCGTGGCAAGTCCAGAAGATTTGGTTATAAAACTTGGTCTTTGAATTGCAAACCAGGGCATCTAGTAAACTCCGAAATACATCAAGGAAAAAAGTGGGATCAAGTGGGATCCTTGAGGCTGTACACCATTCCAGATTGCTGGAAGTCTAATTTTTAAAATAGCTCAGATTCCAAATTATCTAAGTAGTGGGTAAGTTATTTTTTTCCTACTCTAATGTTTGACTGCTTTTTGATGTTGAGATGAAAATAAGGTTATACTTTACTTTTGAATACTCGTAATACTACTGTAATGGCATTTTTTGAAAAAATACATAAAACATCCAACACAACAGTTTTTGTTTGTTTAAATTAAACTTGAAAGAAAGAAAAACAGTAGAAAATTTTGTAAAAAAAACCTTCTGCTTTTAAGGGTTAATAAAATTAGTGCATGTTCAAATTAAAATATGAATACTTACTCCCTTTTTCCTGTACTGAATTTCGTGAGCCGATATAGGCGACTTCGATTCAACTTTCCACGTCAAAAGTACGTCCTTGTTTCCCTTTTCAGGTTTGATGAAGTCCCGAACTGCAGGAGTTTTCACTAAGCTTACTTTCTCTTCCTTCTTACCATTTCTATTCTTGCCTACACAAGTATAGGTACCGAAGTCCTGATCAGTCAGATTGGAAATGACAAAAATGCTTTCAACGCTGTGTTGTCTTCTCTTAGTCATAACTTTCCTAGTCGCGTCATTTTTCATGATTTCTTCACCCTTTTTCCACAAAACGTTTGCCTCTGGGTAAGCATCCACAGTGCACACTAATTCGGCATCTCTTTCTTTGTTTGATGTTACTAGGTACTTGGAAATTGAGATCTTTGGTGCATCTATAAGTTAAAAGTTGACATTAAATTATCATAGGCATGCGTATAAGCAAAATGTAAAAAAGAGAAAAAGCCTTTTTACAATACAGAACACAATATACATAACAGGCATGCAACCACTATAAACGAATCAGAAATGAAACGAATCCTTTAGTTAGACAAATAAAAAGGGAACACAGATGGAACACGACTTCTACGAAACAGAAAAAGAAATATGAAGAATGATAAAAGAACGAAGAAAAGAGATGAATAAACTTATAAAAACGAAACACATTTAGAAGGAAACATGGGCAGACTACTTTCGATCCCTATTTGCTAATGGTGACAATAATGAACCAACATTACAGAAGTGATGACAAACAAACAAATGAATATTGAGTAGGAAGAAGTAAAGAAATTATTAGGGAAAAAAATAGATCACCAGGAGAGGACAGAATATTGAATGAACTACTAAAGCACTGAGGACGAGATCTGACCAAAAAACTATTAAAAATATTAGAACAAAATTATAAACGAATTAATTTATTAAACTTAACACTAAAATTAACAACTAAAGCGATACCAAATAATTTGAATGACATTATAATACTAGCAGAAGAACAAAAAGGTTTTAGCTCGGAAAGATTATGCACCGACGCTATATTTATAATGAGGCAAGTGTAAGACTCATTAAAATACAACAAAATGCCATATTTCGTTGACCTTAAGAAGACATTTGGCAAATTAAAAGATGTTATTTACTTATTGTACGCAAGAGCGATACCTCTAGGAATAATCAAAACGATCGAAAATATCTACCAAAACAACACAATAAAAGTAAAAGTGAAAGAAGAACAAGAACAAGAAAAAGAACTCGACGAAGATCGCCACTCCCATAGTCAGACCAAATAAAGTGCGCTACCGGTTATTCCGTTTGATGTTACCTGTGTGATGGGCAAGTATACAGTATTCTATTCTGGAGATAAAGGCACTCAAAATAAAAACGGTGTAGCAATAATTACATCTAATGAAATTGCAAAACTAGTTTCTGTACAAAACTCTACTGCAGACAAAGAAGCATGAAACCAACATAATATTAGGAGACTTTAACGCCAAGATTGGAAAAGGAAGAGAAGATGACACGGTGGGGGAGTTTGGCCTCGGAATAAGAAATGAGAGTGGAGATAAACTGCTTCAGTTCTGTAAAGAAAATCAGTACAGTATAATGAACAGCTTTTTCAAGTTACCACCCAGACGTCTCTACACGTGGAAATCTCCAGCAGATGGAATAGAAGGACGCATCACAAGAAATCAAATCGATTACATAATGGTCAACAAAAGATACAAAAACGCAGTAAAAGCATGCAAAACATTCCCCGGAGCTGACATCCCCACCGATCACAATCTTCTTCTTGCAACAATTAAGATTTAAAAGAACAAAAAAAAAATAAGCAAATAATAGCTATTAACCTAGATAAGCTTAAAGAAGAATCCACTAGTAATAAAATACGGGAAGAAATACATAGACACTTGAGTAACAGAACAGTACAATCGACACAAACTCCCGAGGAAGACTGGCACTATATTAAGAAAACACTTGCAAGAGTAACAGAGGACTACCTCAAACAAGATACACGAAAAAAGAACAAACCATGGATGACAGAAGAAATTCTAAACATGATGGACGAAAGAAGAAAATACAGAGGTAAAAATGAAATAAATACAAGCAAATACACAAGAATACCAGAATAAAGATCCAACAAACCAAAGAAACCTGGCTAAGTGAAAGATGCCAAGAAATTGAAGAGTTGGAACAAAGACATGATACTTTCAAACTACATAAAAAAGTAAAAGAAGCCGCTGGAATATTTAAACAAACTCCTACGTCTTTCATCGAAGATAAACATGGGAACCCGCTATTGAACATAGAAGATCAAATAGGTAGATGGAGAGAAGACGTGGAAGAGATGTTTCAAGACCGAGAGAGGACGAACATTTACATGCAGGAGGCATCGACTGGACCTTATATCACAAAGCAAGAAATTATCAAAGCGGCAAATCAGATAAAGAACGGAAAAGCTGTTGGGGAAGATAATGTCCCAATTGAAATAATAAAGATATTACTAGACGAACAAATCGAAGTAATGGAAGATATATTTAACAAAATATACGAAACAGGCATAATACCAAATGATTGGATGACATCGGTGTTTATACCACTACCAAAGAAGAGAAACTCCAAGAAATGTGAAGACGATAGGATTATTAGCCTGATGAATTATATGTTGAAGCTCTTCCTACGAGTAATACACAATAGAGTATACAATAAACTAGACGAACACACTGGTCAAACTCAGTTTGGTTTTAAGAATGGGTTCGGAACAAGAGAAGCACTTTTTTCAATACGTGTGCTAGTTGAAAGATGTAGAGATGTCGATTCTGATGTATACTTGTGTTTTATAGACTTTCAGAAGGCGTTTGACCTGGTGAAACATGATAAACTAATAGATATTGAGTCCATACTTGTTTTATTTCAATTGGGTTATTAATAGGTTTATTGCTTTTGTCAATTAATCGGTTAGGTGTATTTGTTCGTGATTTTCCAGATAATTCTTTCACTTTTTTATGTAAATTATAATGATCATGCTTTTTCTGCAATTCTTCCATATCGATGCATGTTTTCATCATCCACTTTTCCTTAGTCTCTCTTATTTTTTTCCTTTAATTTATGTTTTTCTCTGTACTTATTTGGGTTTGTGTTTCTATATTTTTTTCTTTGATCCATCATTTCCAGTATTTCTCGAGCCATCCAAGGTTATTCGCTTTCTGTTTTCTTTCTGTAGAGATTCTTTCTGTGTTTTTATGGCAGAATTTTTGATTTTGCTCCACGTAATGTTCATATTCTCAGTGTTTTTCATTTCTGATGTTAATTTCTTCATTTCTTGATTTATACAAGTGGAAGCCTCAGCATGTATTTCATTTATCTTGAGTTACTGAGTATTCACCTTAGAACTTTTGGATTCTATTATCTTTTTTACCATCAGTTTCATTTTTAAGACAAGGAGGTTATGGTCTGATGGGATATCTGCTCCAGGAAAAGTCTTACCACTTACAATGGAATTTCTAAATCTTAGATTGGTAATAAAGTGGATCTGCACCAATTTAATATATCCTTTAGAACAACAAGCATGGTTATAACAACAAATTTACTAAGATTTTGAGCTGGAAGGTTATATAATAGAACAATTGATGGAGTTTAAATATTTAGGTATCACATTATCTAGCTAAGGAGAGCTCAAAACTAAAGTAAAGTATCAAGTGAATAGAGCAATCGGACCCGCAGGTTGCCTGAATGAAACAATATGGAGAAATAAAAATATCGGGAAAGAAATGAACGATAGAAATTAAAAAACAGTCATCAGACCAATAATGACGTATTCTGCAGAAAGACGATATGACATATAGAGAAACCTGGTACTGAAAAAAAAACAGAGTCATGTCTACATAAAAAGAAAAACATAAGAAGATATTACTGTTAAAAATATATACTTACGTTCGATGTTTATGGCGACGTGTTTGTGACTGGGCTCCTTTAAACCATTGTCGGCCAAACACCTGTATATGCCTCCATTTTCGGGAGTTACGTTTGGAATTTGAATAGTTTCACCATGAAGTTCCAGTCTTTCATTTCCTTTGTGCCATGATATGAGTGGTTTGGGATATCCTATAGCTATACATGTCAGCTTGATTGTTTCTCCAATCTTGTACTAAAAAAGGTAAAAAATTTTTCAATAAATAAGTTAAAAATGCAGAACATAATGTTTTATATTTAAAAAAGTGATCCGTGAAATTTCTGAATATATACAACCAGCTCCTCAAAAGTAACGGCAATGAGTATAACTAACTAAAATAGTGATATTCATAATAAAAAAAAGGGGTTAGTCTTCGTAAATGGGTATATTTATTTAAAAACCCTTAAAAGGGCTACATAAAAAAAAAACAAACGTTTTTTGATGTAGCCCTGTGATGTGATGATTTTAATCACATATGTTATAACTTTAATTTCTTCAGCCAGTAGATTTCTAACCTCCTTTTTCATTAAACTTACTTTTACTAACTTTTTTACCATACGAGCAGTCTTAAACAAAGTCATTTAAATACGAGGTCTTACATTAGCTTCAAATATTTACTATTCAAACTTTGCCTTGTCCCAGATGTGATAAACATAAAAGAAAAATTTTCATATATATAAGCTAATCTAACATAAAATACACTTTTAGACCACATTCCATACGACAAAAAGTAACATAGCTAGCCTAATGAACATGTCATTCTCTTAAACATGACTTTAACACCAACGGTAATTCCACATCTTTTATACGCTACATTAATAAATAAAAAGTTTTTAAATCCCAACACCTGGATTGCTGTTATTATTTTAATATCATTGAAAAATTTTTTTTGAGCATTTTGGCTGCAGTAATACTATGTACAACTAATATAGTTTCATGTTGCATTGACATTTTGTTTTCGACACCGTTCATGGGTATCTTGTCAATTAGTTACCAGCTGTAGTCCGTTTGAAGAGGTTTACTCTCCGGACACTGGAACTCACTTCAAGCATGTTACCTTAAGTCAAATTCAATTTAATATTTACCATCACAGTTTTATAACAACAATATGTACAATCTTTAATAATTACATGTAATTTAAAGGGTTTTTACCCTGGTATTTTGGTGGCTCAGGCATTTTAACCTAGTAAGTATAACCATTTTTGCTTGTTAACCCTAGTCAAAATTAAAAAAAAAAAACACGTTTGCTTCAACTAAATGGTTTATCCTTATTTTAGGCAATTTTAAACCTGATGATGGACTGTTTAGTCCTAAAACGTTTGTTTTTTTGATGTAGCCCTTTTAAGGGGTTTTAAATAAATATACCCATTTACGAAGACTAACCTCTTTTTTGTGATACGTGGTATACAGCCAGCTACAGGAATTGTTTTCCTTGTGGATTTTATATTCATAATAGTAGCAAAGAAAAGAGTTCGATCTAATGTGTCATTTTAATGAAGTGTTCTGATAGTAATGAAGTATCAGTAGGTAGGCATTTTTCTAGTTCAAGTTGGTATATGCACTTAGTGATTTACGTTGTTTTAGAATTTCGAACGGGAATAATCACAGTAATTATTTTTTACATTGCCAAATGCCTCAGCCAGATGCCTCTATTCCACTCGCTAGGTGGAAATTGGTTTGTCCCTCTAGATGCGTGCAACGTTTGGGTGTTTGAAAGCAGCTTTGGAGATCAAGTGCTCTTTGGCATAGTATTAGTGATAGTATGCAGTCTATGAAATAGTACGAGGTAAATCAAAATTACGATCCAGGAAGAAAAAACGAAACAAGAAGTAAATATTAATTTAGTCAACTGCCACGGCAGATTCCTGAAATATACGTGTTATTACTTTTACTTTCTTGTACATGTAACCAGTGCAGTGCAGTGCTAGTGTTTTTTTATGTGACCCCGTAATTTTTTCGCATGTTTAGATAACTATATTTTTCTTCAAACGTCAAATAATGATGACATTACTTATCTAACTTGATCCTGTCAAAGTTTGATGTCTACGCCGGCAGCAGTTTTTTTCCCATTTCTTTACGGCGGAGGGAAAAATGTTGTCATGGCAACAATATGAAACATGTCACAAAGCAACAATACAAATGTCATTAACAACAATTAAACATCATTTTTATTTATAGTAATATTAAAAGTACAATTAGTTAATGAGGCATTTTCAAAATTGAAACCGAACAAAAATGTTCCCGACTCTTGATACGCATTGGTAATTGTTGATGATACTGATGGTCGAGAACAACTTTCAGCAATCATTCCCGATGTTGGCGAATCATGAGGGTTTAAAATTTTTTGAGCATTATCGTTCTTATTTCTTATTGAATCCTCTATATATCCTTCGGTAACCGAGCTTGATTTCCAGCCCCCATGTCGTTTGAGGCATTTTAGGTTTCCGCCTCCATCAATTAAAAGTGTTGCTGAAGTTCGTCGTAAAGAGTGATCCGTGTATGCGCTTGCATCGTTTAAATTTAAATAACTAGCTACTTTTTGGGCTACTGCGCTGATCGAATGTATTCCCATGACTCTTCGGTAACACTTTCCATTTTGGTACTTGATAAAAAATCGGTTTTCTGTGAAATTTTCAGGCCGCAGTGATGCATACTTTTTATACAGTTTAATGTAGTTTTGACCAATTATCGTAAAAGATCTAATTTGTCGTGTGAAGATCTGGGATTTTGATAATTATTACATTTTCTTTATCCTCAATGTCCACAGTCTTCATTTTTACCATTTCGTCGCATCGAGAGCCGCCGGTAACCCCAATTAACAAAACAATCTGAAATATTTTTATAATTTAGTAGAGTATACTATAAAAAAAGTCAGACAGATTTCAATTAAAGGTAACTAATCTACAAATTGAACTAAACGGTAGCGGCAACCGTGTAAAATGTCAGTAGTAAATTCTTACAGGGGTCATTTTTATTGCGTATACTTCGCCCATGTAAATAAGCGAAAAAGTAATATATAGTCCTCATAACATTTTCCCCCGTAACAATATAAATTGGTGCGGTTCACGAGTGTGTAGTGAGACAAGTTTATTGAATAGTTTAAAACATCCGCAAACATATCAATATTTTGCTGGTCTATATATATTTACGTTCTTAGAAATAATGTTAATGAGTGAAATATGATATTTTAGTTTATGTTTATTCGATCCAAATTCTAATGTGCATAGGCGTAGCGTTTTCTATTTCGTGGGAATATATTTATTAAATAGACTTTATTATTAAGTTTAAAATAGTTTTGAGGTAAGTAAAGTAAATTTGCCGCAAATTTATTCTTTTTATAGTATTAACCCATTAACGGCCGGTCAGTATACAAAGAGAAATTTGTCAATTAATTTATTAGATTGGAATAAAAACACATATTAAAAAAGGGTTGCAATTTACAACAAAAAAGATTTTTGTTTCTCATTTTCAAGGAAAACTGTACAATTTTTAATACAGGAACATATTGCATCTTAAATGTAAATTAAATTGTAAGGTGAAAATTTTCGAAACATTCAGGGTGTAGATGCATTCTACACTTTTTAGATAAATAAATAGTAGTACTTTTTCATATCCTACATTCTTGCACTATCGTCTCTTTTTGTAATGTGGCCAATTGTCAAATCTGGTATAGCAAATTTAGATTGAGGTACATGTACGAAGCTTGACATTGATGTGGCGATTCTTCACTGTTATAAATTATAAATATAAATCTATGTCGGCTCATGCTTTCACTTATAATGTGCACTTCTTTATCTTCATCTTTTGACCAATGTATATCAACTTGAAGCAGAGTGTGAACAATCTGAGTATTCTTCTAACAAAGCTATTAACTCTTTAGTAGTTAGTGCCAACTTTATTTCATATTTCGAGTAGTCGCCACATTGGGCATATTGGGCAGTCGCCACATTGAAGTTTGTACAACAAGAAGTTTGAAGTTTGAACATTTAAGTTTGAATAACAAGAGCCAAAATAAAAAACACTTAAATAGTGCTGTGTACAAACTTGAATGTGGCGACTGCCCAAAAACTTACATCGGTCAAACTTGTAGAAACTTTAATAAACGAATAGCAGAACATAAAAGGGTTTTCAATAATAGAAAATCAGATTCGACATACGCACTTCACCTTCTAGATCATAATCATTCTTTTAATGACAAATTTAAAATTCTTGACATTCGAAATAAAGGCCTTAAGCTATCTTTGTTAGAATCTATGGAAATCAACAAATTAAAAAATACAGGTATAATTCTGAATGACCAACTTGAGACAAACAGTTCTCCCCTCCTCAACCTATTTCATTAGAGACTATAAATTGTAAACGCATGCCAAAAATAGATCACTTGAAAAGGCAATCAGCCGAAACAGCTGTAGTGATAATAGTTAAAATAAATTTTGTGGAAGTTTAAAAACAAAGTTTTCAGTGTTTTATTGTTACGAAAAAATAAGTATTTTCCAAAGTTTTCTGTGGTTTAAAGTTCTATATTAGGTACTCTCTAATAAGATTAAAGTTTTACTTTAATTTGTTAGACAACTATAAGATACCTGTCAAAAGACACATGATAATTTAATGATTATATCGGTCTTAAATTTAATTTTTATGTAATTACTTATGTATTTAAATAAATAGTTAAATCAATTCAATTCGAGTTAAAACAAAACAAATATAACGTTCATAGCAGACAGCAATTCTATAAATAGATAATGAAGTGCAACGACGAGATCGTATGTTAAAATTTCAGATTGTTTAGTCTACTGAAGAAATGAGTATTTTGCAAAGATTTCTGGTTTTTGAAGTACTGTGTTAGGTACTCTATAAAAACAATAAAATTTTCCTTTATTTTGTTAAACAACTATTCATTCCGTGCTTGACTGACCTATTGCCTTCATCTGAGAGTTTTGGACCCCCCAATTTGAGGTTAAAAATGTGTTAAATATATAAGAAATTGACAATTATGAATAATTAGTTTTTTAGTTATATTGTTCAGTTTATGTACAAAATAAATGTAGTATTTAAAACTGGGTTTCTAAAAATTCATCATAATTTATCTTTGCAACCCCAAACGGAAAAGAAAGGGAAAAATCTAGTAGGTACTGACAAATCAAGATTTTCATGTGGAAGAGCATATAGTTAAAAACAATAGTGGTAAAAGTTAT